TATCGGAACCTCGTTACTCAGCGCACCATGCTTATAGCGTGGTCCAAGTCCAAGTCCAAGTAGACCTCCAAGTGGGACAATGACCGGCAGAGACCTTCTTTCAGATCCGTGGCGAGAGAGAATGGAAGGTGCCAGGCGAACGAGGAGAAAGAAGGACGAAGCGAGCTCCGGCGGTCGAAGCGGGAGGAGGGAGGGGGGGGGAGAGAAAGAGGAGGGGGAGGGCAATCGCGAACTCACTTCGCTAATTCACTTGCTCGTTGCTTTTCCGGTTTACATTTTACTACCAGCCAGAGAGTACGTCGGCCTTTAAAGACATGCCGCCAACTAGTCCGAGAAACGCGACAGAAACGGGACTTTGATTTTCGCCGAGAATCGACGATCGCCGATATCGATCGACGACCCGAAGGAACACAGCCGGGGGTTTCTTTCCGTTTCAACCGAACGTGTTCCACCGCGATGTTCCAATTCGTGATACATCTCTCTTTCTCTCTCTTTCTCTCTTTCCGTAGAACGAGAGAGCTTTCAAGTCGAATTTCGAGATCGAGATCGACTCCTTTTAGTTTCGATATCCGGGCCGGAACGAGCGAATAACTTTTTTGAATATAGCGCGAGCCGTAGCCGTGGAAGTGGAGATCAAGTAACGGAACGAGCTATCCAAAGGTGAAGTTCCTTTAAAAACGCCGGCAGCTACATCGGCGCAGAAAATAGCGGCCCGATGCTTTTTATCGCGGCGTAAAGAAGTAAAGTTCTGTTGCGAGATCGGCAGCAGCAAGTAACAGCACTTTCTACAAAAAGCTTAAACGCAACATGTCCCGGTTCAAAGTCTTAAGGGGTCGTTGACCCCCGCCGAGTGACTCGGCGAAGCATCGACCTTCTTACAAACGTCCAGACCTTTCTTAACCATCGAGAACACCGGATGAATGTTTCACGCGACGATCCGGCAAGCCTCTGACCTTCGAAAGCTTCAGCTTTTCCGATTGATCGATCGATTGAAGCCGATCATCGATTTTCTTCAATTTCGTCCGATCAACGATGGAAGAATTTCGAAACAAAACTGGCCGAAAGAATCGTGACGAATCTTTCAGGAATTCTCTCGCAAGAGAGCGCTGCCGAAAGAGAAACAAAATTTACAAAGAGCAGAGAGAATCGTTTCGGTCTGACGTCGACGTGATATTTCATTTTAAACGAATTTCTACCCGTTATTCTCGGAAAGCTGTGCGTGAACACGCAATCGGCGTGATAAACACGTATATACACACCGGTGCGGCCCGTTATTCTTTAGAGAGTAACAGTTACGAGTGTTGCACGAGAGTTGAAGTATCCTGCCGCACTATGGAACACGGTTCGATTCGAACACGGGCGCCATGGAAACGGCATTTCCGGTTCACATTCGGATTTCTATTCGCGGCCGCTGTTACGCGTCTGATTAGAAACTTGCCAGCGACGAGACAAGCGCGTTTGCGCTTCCGTCATTCCGTTTTACCAGGTCAAAGGATCGAGAACCTTCGATTTCCCTTTCAACCACGAACGAAAGATGTCTGATGAGTGAAAGATAGACGACGACCGACAGTATCGATAATTCTGATCTTGTAAACGAAAAATCGAATGAACGAAAGCTGTGAAACCAGAAAAATTTCTATCGAGTTCGAAGACGACAACAGGATGATGGATCAACGATCTAAAAAGCGAACGACACTTGATTATGGTGTTGCCATGAGTGTCTAAAAAGAAAGAAAAGAAGTGAAAAAAAAGACGAGCTATTCCGAAATCGCGCGATCGTATCCGATGCGGTGATTCTCGCAAGAAGCGGTCGAACCGAAGGAAATTAATATATCTGGTACAGCCGTTCCTCCGAGGAGAGAAAAGATCGACGACCTGGGAACGTATCTGGGTTAGTAGTCGTCGGCGATTCACGCGGAAACTTCTTTCGCTAGGAAGGCGCCGCGTGGAAATTCGCAAGATGCCGGCTCCGCAGCTCGTCCGCTCTACACCTGGAAAAGTGAAATTTCGTGCGAGCGCCCTCGCTGACAAAATGTCGTCGCGCCGAATTCGCGCCGAGAGATCAACGGCCTCGCCCGCGTACCGAGTCACTCTCACAAACTCTCCGTACCAAAGAAATCGTTCCCGATGACAAAGAAGTATGCTCGAGCGGATCGAGCAAAACAACGACCTGTTGTTCTTTTCTCTTCCGATTAAAAAAAAGAAACGAAGAAGAAGAAGAGATTGTACTGAATATCGGTTTGAACTTTCGCTGGAAATAATCGAAACATTTGTCCGGTCCGGGGTCACGGCGCGTGTTTACACATTAGTGGATAAATTTAATTATTTTCAAATTTCCGTCAGAAAAGAAAAAAAGAAAAAAAAAAAAAAAGAGTAGTCGGCGCAGCGTGGCCGGGATTAAAAGCCAGCCTGCCGTTAAATTTCGCACGCACGGCAGGACTAAAGCGGAATTATTTTATTCCGGTGTAAAAGAAGAGGAAGATGGGACGATATACGGCGGCGAGACGTGGATTCGGGTACAACAGAGACAATGCGCACCGAGAACCGATAAAGCGCCATTACTGCCATAAATTTAATTCCACCGGTAGAGAGGCATTTCCACAGAATTACGAATAAATCACAGCTGGCACGATATTCTATTAATTTCAGGAACAGTGCCAAGTGAATTATTGCTAGCCGATACACTGCAATGCCTCATCGCCGGCGCGGTAAATATTTTTCCCAGGTCATTGAGTAGACGTTGTAGAGAAAAAAATTTCCACACACCCCCTCGCCTCGGCCGCGGAGACTATTTTTTCCTCCCTGTACACTTTCTATCCTACATTCTCTGCCGCCGGTGGATCTCGGTTTGTACCGTTGCAGTCCTAATTCCGTATTTAGACGACCTGCGACGTTCTCTGTTTCTCGTATCTCTCCCGTACCTGTTTGTTTTCGTCGAAAATATGCAAACAGAATTCACGGTGAACGGCCGCGTTCCCGAAGAGAACGACAGCGTGCATTATATTATCTCGCGGTGAGAATCGGCCTTTTACGTGCGCAGTAGATGATTTCGTATCGCGTAACCCTGTAGGATGGAATCGAGACCGGTCTACGGGATTAGAATCCAACAAGGTTCGACGACCTGTGCGTACGTCACACCTCTATTACGAGGTGTCGATGATACCGAGCACACTGGCACACGCTGGTGACGCGTAAATGAAAAAACGTGCCACGTACACCGTGTACATTCACTGAGCGACGCTCGTTTAGCCAAAGTGAACGGGGGTTACCGATCTCGAGTGGCCGTGACTCTGGGCCAGGGTCTGGGCCAGTCGGATTCCACGTACCCGGTGTTCCGAAAAGAAGAAATCGAACACACAGGCCAAAGGAACGAAAGGAACGAACGAAACGAATGAAATCGAACGAATGAAAATCGTTATGTTGCTTCTGACTCTAGAGGCCACCAGTCTGGATCGATTTTGACCGATTTACGTTCACGCGGTTCGAACGGTGATCGGTATATGCAGCGAGCCGTGAATGGGAAAGGAGGATGGGAGCATGGGTAAAGGGTGGCGTTGGGGTTAAACGCACGTCCCCGTAAAGGGGTTGCCAGAGGACAACGGACGAGAAGCCGTGCGAGAGGGACGCATCGTAGAAAAAGCACGTACTCAAAGGAGGTGTAAACAAGGACGGGAGAAAAACACCGCAGGATTTTTGTAGACGGCTGTCTGGCTTGCAAATTTACCAGACCAGAAGAAATTGTCCTTCAATAATAACGGCGATAATCGTTTTCAGGTTACACGCCGCGGCGTCACGGGCGTTGATAATAATGTGAAAAATGCAAATGTAAAACGACGTACACTCGTATCGTGTTTTGATTCGAGTTCTTCTTTTTTTTTTTTTTTTTTTTTTTTCGGGAACTCGGGGTGTTTAATTTCACCCGGTCCCGTGAAACAGGCACGATTAAAATTCAAACGTTTCGGCAATTTGGCCGAATCGTTTTTCGTTCGAGCGCTGAAACGACCGCTTCCGCGTTTCCGACCAAGCGAGTTCCCTCCAACGTAGTACTTTCCGCCGTGGCACTGCGCACGAGAGAGGACGAACGTTCCTCCGTATTCTTAGATCATTCGCCAACTCTCTCGCCTTATCGATTTTACGCGTTACATAAACTACCACCGCGCCGAAACTAAGCTGCCTCGCCGAAATCCATTTGAATTTCCCGAGCGAATCGAAATCGCAGGCAGCAGGCAATTTTCATTTTCTTGGAATCTGCGCGGCGACGTACGCCGGAATCGACAAACGATCGTCGACGATACGCCCGCGACTCGAGCTTCATTTTCTTTTCTCTTCTTTCTCCCCTTTTTCTTCTTCTTTTTTTTTTTTTTCTTTTTTTTTTTTTTTTCTTGTTTTTCATTTTTTTTTTTTTTTTTTTTTTATTACGAAGCATGAGAGAGTGTCTTACGATCGCTAGAAGTTATCCGAAGAATTAAACTTAGAAGCGATCGGCGCATGCACCCCGCCGGCATCGACGAACAGAGACAGAGCCGGACAACAGCGTGGAAAATCCGAGAACGGAAGAAAGAGAAACAGGAGGTGCAGGAAGAGGAGAAAAAGAGAAAGAGGGGAAAGAGTTGAGTGAGAGGAAGGAAGAAAGAGAAGGGGACACGGTTGCACGCGCTGGAGTAGCTGGAGGGGTTGAAAGGGGTAACGAGAGCGGGCCGGACGAAGAGAGGAAGAAAGTTGCGAGCCGGTGCGACGAGGACGAAAGAGGGAAATGCACGAGAGGTACCAGAGCGGTGGGAGAGGGAGGGGGGAAGCGAAGAGAGAAAGAGAGAGAGAGGACGACGACAGAGGAGAGAAAGGCCAACCGAGGAAGAAAGAGAGACGAGCGTAGAAGGGAGAGAAACGTAGCGTGGAGGGAAACGTAGAGGAGGACAGAGTGTAAGGGTGAAATAGAGAGAAAGAGGGGAGGAGGAGGGGGAGACGGGGGAGGGGGGCAAGAGGGGGAGGGAGAGAACCTCTGGCAACGGGTCGATCGAAAGCGCAGCGCAGAGAAATGCACCACCTCTGCTCTGGTCTGGCAGCTTTGCTGGCACACACCACCGCGTCTGTGTTCGCCAGAAAGGGAGAGAAAGAGAGGAGGACGGCGAGAGAGAGGGAGAGAGTGAGAGAGGGATAGCGAGCGACCAATACCGACGCAGAGGGAGGACGAGCCAAGCCGACTCGCGTTGGGCTAGGTCAGGTCTACCCGAGTTCCACACACTGCTCTGCGTGTGCCATCCAAAGAGAGACCCGAAGGCGGAGACCACCCTCGAAAAAAGGGTTGAAACGCGAAATTACGGGAACCGTGCTCGTCGGCCGCGGAACAGTGTTGCTTCTTTTTTTTTTTCTTTCGGCGATATCACTTTTTGTTTGGTCACGTAAAACCCAAAGCGAATCGATCGCGTTCCAGTAGCACCGGTTATATGCCTGTCAAGCGATCGGCACCGTAAGCGCGGCGTGTTCTCGCTTCGCGTTCGCTGTTCCAACCACCGAGAGATCATTCTGTCATTGACAGCGAGGGTAGAAAGATCCCCGGATCGTCGTGTGTCGGTGCATCCTCACGAGTTTCACTCGCGACACGATCGAGTTCGTTTTGCTTTCCAGTTCTCTCTCAAGTCGTCGATCCGTGTTCGCAGTTGTTCAACCTGAGAAAGTAACAACGGGGGTGGAGGGGGTGCGAGACAGAAGGAGGTGAAGTGCGTCGAAGTGGTTCGCGTGTGTGCCTTCGAGGGGGAAAAAGAAAAAAAAAGGAGAAAAAGGAGAAAACGGTGTGTGTTTCCCGGGTTCGTAGTTTTTCCCTTCGACTCGACGACGAGGGAACCAAGCGACGACGATCAACGCGAATAAACACGCAGATAGGAGCGGATCGGAGGAGGAAACGGAAAGGGCCGTTTGGTGTCGCGTCGAAATTCTCGAAAAAGGATAGCCGTTGTTGATAAACAAAAGTGAAGGAAGAGTGTCAGTGGTTGACTACCCGGGTGCAACGACAGCGCCGATACAAATTTCCTTTTCTCGATGTCCTGATAATCGATAAACGTCGTATAGGTGGTAGAGGACCACCTAGGCCGCCGGTAGCGATCGGCCTTATCGACGTCGAAATTTCGTTTTGCCGAGGGACATTCTTAAATAAATGTTGAGAAAAGCCAACGCGTTTCATCCCTCAACGCGAGGTCAGCCGAGGCTCCCGAGTATCCCAAGAATCGTCGGGATGCCGATCTCCCTGAGAAATCACAGGATCACATAAAACCGGATCCGGCAGTTCGTTTTCTGAAAAAGCATCCCCTCGTTAGGGACGTACTCAGGCGCACCAGCACAACACAAGACGAAAGATCGGCGAAGGAACTCGTCGCGAGGCGGTGTAGGACTCGTTTCGTCGATTCGCTGTTCGCGAACCGATGTACCAAAAGGCGTGAGTACTGCCACGTTAACGCTGAACGATACCGACCGATACCGACCGACTGATTATTGTACTTAGAACGAACGATCAGGAACGAAACAATTAACGGCGAAGCGTTTTTTGGAAAACGTCAATAACGAGTCGTGTCTACCGGAAGTTCTGGCAGACTGCTTTAAAGTTCGACACACTGAACCGTTTCTGTGCGTTTCCATTCTCAAGCAAGAATATAAAAATCGATTACTTGCTAAAGCAGAAGAGAAAACGTCGTGCATGTTTTACAAAGGTACATGTGGACGCAACGCAGTATAAAAGTGATCGTTCGTCAGAAACGTTGCAACGTTTGTCGTGCAAACTTTCGACCGTCTCCGGACGATTCATCGTTCGCTAAACTCGATTTAAAAAAAAAAAAAAAAAGAAACAGAAAGAAAAATGTCCATCAGGAGAGAGAAAATTTCAAACTAAAATCCTTGTAAAAAAAAAAAAGAATCCCAACGGACGAGGGAGATATTCTTGAAAAAACAGGTTCCACCCTCAACGAAAATAAGTGTGTATGTGCAAGAGAAAGAGAGAGAGAGAGAGAGAGAGAGAGAGAGAGAAAGATTTTAATACAATATCAAATATCGTTTAACAATCGATCGGAAGAAACGTAATCCAAAAGAACATCGAAAAAAAAAAATAGATCGAGAGCGAAGAAAAATCCTCTTAATCAAAAGGGATCGACAACCAGGGGAACGAAAATCAAAAAGTTACGCAGAGAGTTAACGAATAGTGAACGGGCTGGTGGTGTGCGATTTCCACGGAAATGGAAATTCAACGAGTAGCGAAAACCCCCGATGGCAGGGTGGGCGGGGGTGAGAGGTCGGAGGGACGGACTTGAGAGTTTATGCCCCGTCCCCCTCCCTCTCACCCCTGCAGTCGATCAATGCGTGGACGGGTTTCACTTTCGCGGTGTTAAAGTGTTGCACCATCACCGATTAAGAGACAAGAAAAAAAACCATTTTTCGCCTATCACGTGACTAATTTTTCTCTCTCTCTCTCTCTCTCTCTCTCTCTCTCTCTCCTCGTGCGTAGAACAGGGACGATCGAAGGGTTGAATTCAATCAGCTCTTGCTAAGTAACGGACGATAAATGAAAGAAAAAAGGGAAAAAAAAAAGAAGGAAAAGAAATTGTTGTTAGTTACAGGTAGCGGCTCGACACGCGGACGAACGGGTTGCTTCTCTTTTACAAGCGATTCGAAGTTAATGGCTGGGAGTTATTGATCGTATCGATTTACCGGAATCTCAACTATTTATAACCGTTCTGCGTCGTCGGCTGTCATTATACATAGACACTTCTATGTCGATTCTAATAATATCGGGATTTTCACGTTTCATTTTCACCCGGGACGATCGACGAGACGATGCCGCACACGTTGCCGGTCAATACGCGGAAAAAGGTTTGCACGGGAGTTTCAAAGTTGCAGATGGCGAACAGAAATAGCCATTGGAAGATATAAAATTACGATTCATTTGCGATCGAATGATTCATCGAATCAAATTCGGATCACACCTGACATATCGAAATTACATGGATGGCTGCTAAATTTTCGTCGCGTGTTAAATTTTTTAATAAACGAGTCGTTACGCGCAAAAATCACAATCGAATGAATACACCGACGAGCACCGTGACTTCTCCTGTTCCTTCCCTTCCGTCTATATAAACTTTCTTTTTTGCGAGGACAAGACAAAGTCTAACGTCTCTTTTTTTTTTTTCTTTTCGAATTTCTGTACAGTGAAGGATGGAGGCCAGCGAGTGGGATCACGCGACCTTGAGGGAAGAGGAATTCGAGCAGCATGCCGTATATTTGGTACCGGATGTGGCGGCATCGCCAGGCGATACCAATCGTGCGGAGGCATCCCTGCCAAGAAATTTGGTGCTTAAACCTTCTCAGGCCCTCAACGATGTACGTTCCTCCGCCAAAGAATCCTTTCTCGAGACCTCCTCGGTGAGAGTCGCGAGGATAATCGCAATTTCTCGTTTATTCACTTGCCTAAACTTGCTTAAATACGGCCTTGAACTCGGCTCTAACCTTACGAAAACCTTTTGGGGAAAACTTTCGTTTCGTTCGATTCCGGGCGAGGTGGTGGGAGGGAGGGGGGAGGGGGGAGGGGGGCGCGACGATTGTTACGATTTAAGGGATAGGCGGCGGTGAATCAAACTTGACCGAGTGACGAGGCTAATTAACTTACCGAGTATGACCTAGAGCTCAAGCAAATCGTTACACTTTCCTCGGTGACAGGAATCGAGACCAATAGCCTCGGTCATTGCACGACTCGTTTCAAGTTCGAACCGTTGCGAACGTAGTGTTACTCGGTCGTGTTATTTGGACGAATTCATCGGGCGGGATTTGCTCGAATGGGATGATCGAAAGGGAGAAATGAAAGAGATATCAATTTACGAAGCCGGTGTTTTAAAATCATCGGGACGACTAGGGGATGTCCAAATATATAGGATCTAAGTATGGACAACGTTTCTCCAGGCGAAAAATAGAGCAACCTATGTTCGAAAATATCACGCGGCTAAAAGAGTTTAACGTGACGTATATTCCGACCACCGGTCGAATCGACGTGTACGTCACATTTTTCGGTATATGTATATATTCCTGTTTCACGAACTTCGCGTCGACGCTGTACATTGAAGATTTCGGGTGAATCAATTTTCGTTCGCGCGGGTACTATGACAAACAAACTGAATAGGAATGTTACATAAGATCAGAATCGACGAACGGTAGAGGATGATGTGGAACGTGTGCGCAGGTTTTGGGAGTTTGGAGCACAAGTTACATCCCCAAGGGGACACGGTTCGGTCCTCTTGTTGGACAAGTGTACACCAAGGATTCGGTGCCGGCCGACGCGAACCGGAAGTACTTCTGGAGGGTAAGAATCATTTAAAATTATTTGAAGTGCCTGTACGAAATCCTCCCCGTAGCAGTTATGTATTTCGCGAGAGTCGACTATCATCATCGACTAGTCTCTCGGATGATGGGAGAGAGAGAGAGAGAGAGAGAGAGAAAGAGAGAGAGAGAGAGAGAGAGAGAGCAAAAAAAAGAAACAACGAGAAGAGGACGAAAAGGAAAAGAGAGAGAGACAGAGAGAGAGAAGCCTGGCAAAGACCAGAAACTGGTTTCAGCCGATCTAGCGAGCCTTAAAGCGAAACCCGCGAAGCCATTGATGCCTCGTAACGAATTGATAAGTTACGATAGAAAACTTGGTTCTCTCTCTCTCTCTCTCTCTCTTTCTCTCGATTTTCGCTATTAAATCGGCAATATTTCTTTGTTAGCCGATGGTTGAACTACGTCGAAAGCCGAAGATTCAACCTCGACTTTAAACACGAGCTAGAATTCTCGCGACACGTTGCATTTCCTGAATCGCGGCTATCCTTCTGCACAATTGCTCGTTGCTCGCCAACTAAATCGTATGTTTTTCCTCGATAGGTGTACAAAAACAACGAGCTGTTCTATTACATCGACGGTTATGACGTCCAGAAATCAAATTGGATGCGTTACGTAAACCCGGCTTATTCGTCCGAATCGCAGAACCTAATAGCATGCCAGTATAAGGTGAGTCAAACTGATAGAACGCCATCGTCAAACCACCCTGTGCCACTCTGACAGTAGTAGAGTTTCGAACGTTCATCTCGGTTGCCCTTGCCTTTGTTGCAGATGAACATTTATTTTTACACAATCAAGCCGATACTACCGAACCAAGAGCTTCTGGTGTGGTATTGCCGAGAGTTCGCAGAAAGGCTCAATTACCCATTAACGGGTGAACTAATGCTTCAGAGAATACGTAAGCGCACGTTTCGTTCGGCGTTTGCTACGCAAGTGACGACGACGTGTTTCACGGAAGTTTCACTGTTGCAGGACAACAAGTACAACAATCTACGTTACCAACGGAAATTCCACCCACGGTGGACGTGGTGTCGCCACTGAAGGACTCGTCGATTTACGAGCGACGCTCGCAAATGACCCCGACGGACGGTTCCGTTAGATCGGACGAAGGCTATCATTCGAATGGTTATCACGACGAGATCCTCACGCCCCCGGAAGAAAGCAGCGAATCGGACTCGGAGAACAATTACGTGTTGGATTTCAGCAAGAACGCGAAAACGTCGGTATGCAACAACGAGGTGCTGAAACAGGACAATGCAGTGGCGAAGAACGAGTACAGGAAGGTTAAGATCAAGATCACCAAGACCTACGGGAATTTTCAAGCGTCGAAGAGCCTGGACGCCAACGGGAAGGACAAGGATCAGGAATTGCCGAGCAGGGCGGTGACCCCGGAACTACAGAAACCGTTGTCACCTATAGTTCTTCAAAAGAACACCGTCCTGACGACGGTAACCGAAGACGAGATCCCAGAGAAAAACCCGAAACCTTTCTACGAGTCCGAGGTGAAGGGTGCTTTGCCAGTTTCCGGCAGACCAGCCTATCTCACCAGCCCGAGCAGCTCCATCCTCGAGAATATCCTTCTCCGTAGCAGCACCGATAACAACAACAACAGCCACAACCATCACCATAACGGCGCTCAGCAACACCACCAACACCATCAGATTCACCATCAAACGCACGTCGACTCGGTCACGCCACCGCCATCTAGCCCAACCGAGATGGCGTACTCTTACAAAAAGTCTCACCGATACGGCAACATTCTGCCCTGCAGTCCCGACTCTAGCTCGAATTTGCCCATGCAGGCGGATACCTGCGTCAACTCCACCACCAGCGGCAACAGCGCTCTACCGATGCAAAGCCCTACGAGTAACCTGCACTCGAGCACAGGGAACCTTCACTCGAGTACGGGCAATCTACACTCCAGCACCGGATCCAGCAACATTCTACAATCTCATCCAGGGAACATCCATTCGTCCAGCAATTCCAACAATCATCACTCCAGCGCGAACGTTTTGTCGTCTAGCACGATACTGACATCTACCAGCAATCTTCACTCCTCGACGACATCCAGTAACTGTATGCCCAAGAGGAAGACCAAGAGTCCGTCACCGTCTGCGAATCCCACGGGCACATCCACCACCCCAACGATCCTGTACTCTAACTCCGCTGGATGTCAAATAGAATCGAGTCCGGTGTATCCTAGCTCGGCAGCGAACAGCAATCAGAGCGTTTCGCCCATTTCACCTATTCAATCGCCTTCGTCCTATCCGTACGGCATTTATCATCAGAACGGTTCGCTGCATCACAACGTGGCACCGTTGTCCATCAATTGCACCGCCTACTCGCCGACGCCTAGCGGGAACGTAGTGTACGAGCGAGCCGACGGAAGAAGGCTGGAGACCGCCACGAGCAACCACCAATTGCCCACTTCGTCGACCATGCAAATCGACAGTAACCAAACGTTAATAGCTGGCACGCACAATCTTCACCTGGGCCATCACCCTGGCCTTACCATTCACGCCAACTCGTCGTCACTCAACCGATACTCGCCGGCGAGCTCTTTGTCACCGGACGATCACGGTTGCTCGCAGAGTGGTTCGCTCAGTCCGAACTCGCAAGGATCTAGGGGTTACAGGTCGCTGCCGTACCCACTGAAGAAGAAGGACGGGAAAATGCATTACGAGTGCAACGTCTGCTGCAAAACATTCGGCCAGCTGTCGAATCTCAAGGTACACCTGAGGACTCATTCCGGCGAGAGACCGTTCAAGTGTAACGTTTGCACCAAGAGTTTCACTCAGCTGGCCCATTTGCAGAAACATCATCTCGTGCATACAGGTAAGTTGTGCCAATATTTCTCCGTGTAACTTTTAATTAAGAGAGAGAGAGAGAGAGAGAGAGAGAGAGAGAGAGAGAGAGAAACAGAGAGAGGCGGGAGAGAACTAAAGTATATCACAACGATGTATACAGGCGAAAAACCACATCAATGCGAAATCTGTAAGAAGAGGTTCAGCTCGACCTCAAACCTCAAGACCCACCTGAGACTGCACTCCGGACAAAAGCCGTACGCCTGTGACCTCTGTCCCGCGAAATTCACTCAGTTCGTTCACCTCAAGTTGCACAAGAGGTTACACACGAACGAAAGGCCCTACACCTGTCAAGGTTGCGACAAGAAGTACATTAGCGCGAGCGGTCTTAGGACGCATTGGAAGACAACCAGTTGCAGGCCGAATAATATCGAGGACGAGCTTGCCCTTGCCGCGGCCGTGGGTTCGCCGACGTATTACGAATACGGTCCGGACATGAACGTCGGTAAGTACGATCGAGAAACTGTAACTCCGCAATTACGTTGCAAAGAGAATAAAATAGAAGGACTAACTTTCGGTTGAAGCTTGAGAAGCAAACGGTTTAGAAGATGATTTCTAAATGAGAGTGTCACGTCAATTGCAGGAAATATGCCGAAGGAATGCGAGCTGGAGCACATCGACAACTACGAGAGGCATGGCGCCACGCACGGACCACACTCGACGTCTCTCCACAACCTGGAGAATTCCGTAGGACGGCCAAGCGTCATAGAGACCTCCCAGCCTCACATAATCGAGTGCACCTAAAAATGGGGGTATGAGCCCTTTCGCTCAAACGCAAAATCCAGCCGTGGAATAGTAAACGAGTTGCTCGCGACAGACGAAAACGATGTTAACCTCGCGAGATGGTAGTGATGAACGATAAGCTCGTTCGTGCTTCCCCTTCGGCAGCGGGTCGCAGGAACGGATGGAATTTTCGAATTTGTGCTTTTCTTCATTTCGTTCGTCGTTTAGCAGCGTGTAAGAAGAATGTATAATAAGTGAGACAGAGACGGTCGGGTGCGGGGGTAAAAAGAGAAAGAAAATCGCGTCGTGGAACGCGATCGAAGAAAACGATGAAGAATGAGATTACAAAATGGCAACAAGTAATTCGAGATTATTAAACGTTGTTGCTTGGTTATTGTTAACGCGAAGGAATTCAAAGCTTTTAGTAGATATACTTCTTAAAGGCTGGTTACTTTTTACGTACCGTTAATCGTAACACGGACTAGTTCGATTTCTCTGAACAGAGAGGGTGGACAGAATCGACGAGATTCCAGCTACGAGCATACAAAGTTCCTTCCTTGTAAATACTCGTTTCTATATTTTTTCTATGGTAGCGCCACCAACGAATACGAATCTAAAGCGTGAAACAAATGAACAAGAGGGACGAAATTGAACGAATAGGATTAAAAATTATGTCTCGAGTCGTCACGCACGCTGCCCGTATTTTCCGGATAGAATCGAGAGAGAAAGGCGAGAGTACCAAAAGTCGTTCGAGCTTCTCGATTATCTTTCCACGGTCTATCCTAAAACGATGCTTAGAAAAGGTACCGTACTAACGCGGTACACCGTGCCGTTACTTTTCTATACTTTTTCTATATACAAAAATCGCTATGAAAAGAGAATACTTCCGCAAATACTTCCAACGACTTCGGCTAAGCGACAAAACCCTATTCTACCAAACTGCAACGCGCGTTCGCGCGCCAAGAACGTAGTTTATACTCTTTTTTATTGTGAAAACGTCAAACGCTATAACTTTGAATACCTAGGACGATCAAAGCGTGTTCGAATCAAATTTCTCCCAATTTTTCTCGTGTCCGATGAAGCCACGAGAAATCTATTAGATTTAGAACACATTTGCAACCAAAAGAAAAAAAAAAAAAAAAAGAGAGAGAGAAGAACGAGTAACTGTATCTCCTTCCTCCTCGCGATATCACGGTACCATTTTCTACGCGTTCGAGCTTAGGCGGTTGAAAGTGAAAGATGACGGATTTTGTCGGCATCCGTCAGCACATTCGCGGGGGAAAAAAAAAAAAAAAGGAGCGCGCGAGGAACGAAAGCGAAAGAACAACGCGATAATCGAACAACCAGTGACGACACGACTGCAACTATACGAGACCTGTACCTGTATATACTAACATTACTATTAATTATTCGATAATTTAAAAAGGTAATATAATATAAGGAACTCTAATTTATGAATACCTTTATATATGTATATTTAAAAATCGTCGTCGGTTGGCGAGAAGCACGGTAGGCTGCGCTCCACGATAATACTTTTAATAGGAGGGAACCTTTTCAGAAATTAGATAATTTATTACACGCGTACTGTAATAACATTAAAACACGAAAAAAAAAAGCTTTCGGTGATCGAGTATCTATATCTATATTTATACACATTCATATAAATAACATATACATATATATAAATATATATATATACATATATATATATATTTTTTAGGCATCCTTTTGTCGTGGAATTTTCGAAACGGAAAGCATAGTCTCTCAGTCCACGTAAACAAATCTTTTTCTTCTTTTCTTCGTTCTTTCCCAGTTTTATCCTTTTTTTTTCTTTCTTTCTTTCATTCTTTTCACGACGCTATTCTTCTCGTTTAGATCGATCGATTTTTCGAACTGCATGATTTCTTTTTTCTACCGTTGATCGTAATCACCGATGTGACAAGACGACAAATTCTGAATCGTCGATTTTTAATCATCGTCACACGGTTGATCGTGAGACACTGAGAAACGTCTTATCGCGATCGCGCACAAAACTTGTTTACCCATCGTGATACAACGCGATTGAGAAAGCTGATTAATTTTCGTGTCGTTGAAAAGCATACGGAGAATCGGTACGGAGAAACATGCGCGCTGGAAACGCAGTATTCAGAAGAAAAGGCATTAATTCGTTAAGTTATTTCCGGAGGAAGGCGGTCGACTCGCAGTGTCCGGTGTACAAAATACTTCTATTCGTCGTCGGGGCGAAGACTCGGGCGTGATTTTCATTGGGAACAAGTCGAAAGCGCACATTAACACGGGAACATCGGGTCGAGAAATTCGCAGAAAATCGTATAATCACGCGAGAGAGAGGAAAATCTAGTCAAAAAAAAGAAAAGAGAACTAACACACAGCTGCGTCTCGTGGGTAATTTTTCGTGTAATAATTACAAGATCCGCCCGAGCCTTTCCTCGAATACTTCGGTTCGCGCTTCGATTTAATGTAAACGTTTAGCACGTAAAGAATTGTATCTTTCTAGATGTACGTAAAAGTTACTCGGATTACTCGGAAATTTGTGACACCGTTTTTAGGGAACGTAATTGGCAAAGCTACGATAAGTCTCTTTTTTTTTCCTTCTTTTTTTTTTTTTTTTTTTTTTTTGAGAAACGAGAAAGCAAATAATATTAATAATAATCAATAATCAGTCATTAATAATAATAGTAATAATAATACTGATCACCAGGTCGATCGTTCGAGAAATTCATTGTCGAACGATCGGCCGAAAGGAATTTGCCGGTGATGGAACTCGAACGTATTAATCAGACAACGGTGACAATGGCCGTTAACCCTTCTTCTTTCCCTTTCGTTTTCTATTTCGTATCTTCCACTTTGGTTTTTGCAGAAAAATTTCGTCACTCGTACTTCCATTAACTTTTTAAGTGCCGAATCGTCGACAGTCGAAAATCAGTGAGAAAGCGCAGCCTACCATTAGATACGAAAACGATAAAAAGAAAAAAAAAAAAAAAAAACAGTCGCGGTCGATCGGTGATTCACGTGGCTCCGGAATCTCCGGAGTTTGGAGGTACGAGCGAAAAAAAAAAAAAAATACGGAGTGACGCTGGAATCGCCGATCGATAACGACAGCACATTACGATGTATCGCAGACTGATATACGCACGATTATCAATCGTTTATAAAAAAGAAAAAAGAAAAAAAAAACATTCTAAAGAAGGTACGTGCATCGCGATACGGCTCCAAGGGCGAGAGATTCTGGTTAAACAGAAAGATAAAAGAAACAAATGGCAAGAAACAATGAACAATTAAAAACATTCCGAACTTCCTTTCTTCTAATGCTTCAGTTTCGAAAATTGAAAAGTTCGCGTCGATTAATCAACGCGCGAACGATCAACCTACAGAAATCCAAAGGTTTCGCGTCCACTAATTGCGATCTATCCATCGTCTATCCGTTTTTTAAATAGCTTGGAACGTGACAAGTTCTATGGTTCCTGCAAATATCATGGTGCTCGTCGTAAGATTTTTGAAACTGATTGTTTAGTTCGTTTCTTCCGTTTCGCTATCCCCTTTTGTCGGAAAGCTCCTCTTGAACTCATAGACTCTTCAGATAACGATACTTCGATGCGTCGTAAATTTAAGCTTTATTGCTGCTAAAGCAGCTTTAACCCGGGATTACCCATCTGGGGGTCCAGCGCAGGTACATCCCGGCGACTAGACCCTCACCACGTGGGTAATCCCGGGTTAAGGTTAATTTTATTTCGGCGAATCTCTCCGTTCACACGTATCCCGGGGGAAGACAGAAACGAGAAAAGAGAGAAAAAAAAAACAAAAAAGCGAAAAGAAAAAACAAAAAAAAAAAGAGGGAAAAACAATGGAGGAAAACGGTACGATTCGCAAGGCCTTTACGCTGATTTCTGCAAACATGTTAACAGGCAATGTGGAATACTCGGGCATTCTACCGAATGCCTAAGGCCGAATGAAAATTCTCTGTGTATACGCTGTACCAGCGATCTATCTAATCGGTTAATCAAGACACGCGCAGGACGCTGATAACTACTTTGATAGCGTCAAAATCGTAGGAGAAACACACGACTGATCGATTCTACGATGTTGACTTTCGATAATAAATTTAGGCCTGCATCTTCTATGCCGCGAAAACGACACTGGGAACGACGACAACCTACATACAGATAGAACATTCTACATTCGTTCGACACGACGCTTACTCATTTCATGCTCATCAAACATAGCAGATGTACATTCCAATCATTTATTTTAATACTTTTTCGAACTACGTGTTACTCCGTTAAACGCTGTTTATCGAAAAATCGGGATTACTAACGTAACAACGCTATCCAGTGATCATACTGGTTATGATTATACGAAACGCAATGAATCCTAAAGAGACAGCCAACACAATCCAACTCCATCGATCGTAAAAGTGTTGATTACCGAATCGATCAACGTCAGGTATATTTTTTTACATGCTCGATATACGTATAACGTTGGATAAATTCGGCAGATGGTTTCCAGTGACGTTTTGACGATTGTCATTCCGTATATTGCCTCGATTTCCTACCTTGCCTGCATTAAACGCACTATTATAAATAACGAGGTGAAACGATGAAAGAAAGAGAAAGAAAGGGAAACAGAGTGAAAGAATAACGAACGAATGGACGAACGAACGAACGACGAATGACCGAACGAATCGGAAGAGCGAAAGACAGGGAGAGAATGGAGGAGCGAAAGTGAAAGAGAAATAAACCTAGGGTATAAGATTTAAATTGCGAAAAAAAAAGGAAATAAAGACAGAAAACGAAAAAAACGGTGTAGAGAATGGAATTAAGAAGATCGTGTAAATACGCTGAAAGTAGATAAACGAAGGAATCAAGCGACTAACCGCCTCGACAACAGACAAGCAATATTTAGTTCTTACCATCTCGTAATAATTAAACGATAACTCCAACTGTACTGTACACACGTGTACACACTCGTACATATTTAAACGACTATAAATTAAATGTTAATTATCCTTACACTTCGTATATAGTAAATTGTTACGCATTTATCATTACAATTATTGAATAGGTAATGCTCAATTAGCATTTGTTTCTTAAAATAAAGAATAAATATATGGCTGTTGGATATTTATATGCACATATCACTACCTATCATTCACACCTTTCTCTCTCTCTCTCTCTCTCTCTGATTTTTAAGTTCTAGTTTCAATCACTCACTTTTACCCCTCCTTAAAATTAAAAGTCATTCGTCGTTTTCCGTCAGTCTGAACTATCGTGTGAAACGACGATCGAACAAAAAGACGGATCCTTCAAACAGGAAGGAAATCCAAGGATATGTTTCAACTTATAAGGCGAGGTATATCGTTTTTAACCTTTTATTGTAAATTGATCTACAATCACCATATTCTGGTGCATTGTCATTACATCTTCATCGTTATAGATAGGAAAATGTTACAGCAGCACTATTGCTCAATTATAGTGTGTGTATGTATGTATGTGTCTGCATATAACTCTATTCATTTCTCGCAAGTATCAACTTCGATCGTTTAAGTTTAAAAATCTCTTGGACCAAATGCCTCTCCGATTTATTATTGTACAATTCAGATAGAATATCATATAAACAAATCTGTCGCGGCATTGAAATCGCAGAAAATCACGTTCACGGGATGATCGTGAAATGGAACAAAAGGGAAGAGAAAGCTACCTAACTTACGAATAACTCCTTTTCTTTTGCACATCGTTATCATCATTATCATCATCAACATCATCCCCCATTAGAAGAACGTGTAAAACTTTCCGTGTACACGTCGAAGATAATATATATTCCTATATTAATTAGAAAAATAATACAAATTTTGCCTTGTTAATGGAAACAATTAGCTATATGTAATATACTACATGATTTATGCGGGTATGGACATTCGAGTATGTTGTCACGGCTAACCAAGTCCCTGAAAATAATTTTAAAATTTCTTTCATCTCGCAGAAAAATTACACGTTCTTGGTCTAGAACAGACATTGTTTAAAACACACGCCGAAAAATAATTTTTTTACTTCGTGCTATCTTACAGAACCGCGAGGAGTACAAGTACAAGTTATCGGCGGTGCTGTAAATTTCAATATCAAAAACATTTAAGCAACGATAACGCACAAAAAAAAGAAATGATAAAGAAGACTCATAGTAACAGTGGTTATTGCAATCGTAGCATCAAAATAATTGAACTTGTTGAAACGCGTTCTTAACACAAAAATATATTAGCGTCGAATCGTTCTTAGGGTATAAATGAAACTATAAGTTTTCGTATCGCAAAATCCCAAAAGAATACAACATCGTATAGAAATATAGGAGCGAGGTAGCGAAAGTTATATATTCTTATACACATATTTGGAAATAATAGATCACTAAAAGCGCAAAAAATGGAATCCTGATAACGTTCGGCCCTTATCAGAAATTAAATATTAAGAAGCCACGAACGTTAAAAATCACAAATAAAATATCATTCCAAACACTAAATATATACTCAATTACAACATTTTATTATAAATATGTTGCGTCGACGAATTAAAGTGTAAATATAGAATATGATCGTTCGGACATTAATTGACAAAGAATAATGATGATGTGAAATGTCCTACCTTATCAAGGTACAGGACTGTCTGTTCCACTTCCACTGTTGGTCCCAGCTTCTGTTTTCGTGGCAGCCACTCTATCACCCCGCTTAGAACTTTTCGATAGGGAAGCAACTTCTTTCAACAAAGAGGAGATCTTATGTTGCATCGTCGATATTTTGGTTTCGTATTCTTTCTCTGACGCTTTCATCTTGTTACGCAGCTCTGTTTCCGACGTGAAATTTTTAGCTTTTAATTCTGTAATCTGCGAACAAAAATAATTCCCACTGAATTAGAATTAGTTGATAACATTTTAAAACTTTTCCTTTTACCTTTCGGAGTATACTTACTTGTCTATCCTTAGCGAGTAATTGCCCATCCTTAATAGAAATTTGTTTTTGAAGATGGGCTATCTTTTCTTTAAGTTGAGTAACCGCAACTACATGATCTGAACTGTTAGGATCATGTGGATCGTGGACACCACCCATCCGCGCTACTTTCACTGGTGTCGGACCGTTCGTGTCTGCACCTTCGGACTGAGGCGGCAATTTCGTTACATCGACTCTGTGTGGTCTCTTATTGTGACTTTTTAATCTGAAGCAAAACAAACGGATTGACCAGAAACTCATATGAAATGCCTATACATTAAACATTACCAGACTGTGTTACAACCGAAGAAATACTGAAATTGTGATGAACACAATTAAAACTACTAAGCATAAAGTTACCTTGTGACATTATGTATTTGGATAATTACTTTTGTTCTTTGTGCTTTGCTGCTCGTTGTTGTGCTAGTTTCAAATGTGCCCTCCTTTCAGCATCGGATTGTTTCGTTTTTGCCAGTGCTCGTTTGTATGATAGTGTACACAGCCAACATAATAATTTTCCATCAACCTTTAAAATATTAATAATTACCACGTGTAATCCATGAACATATCCTTTTTGTATCAAAATGAATTACTTTCTTATCTTCATCTTGTCTGTCAAAGGCACACTTCTGTTTGCATTGCTCACAAGTGACTGGTGGCCCATAACGTTTTTCAGAATTTGTACATCTTTGACATTTACTACCAATAAATGCAGCTATGGTATTGCAATATTCACAGGCCGATGGCTTACCATAGGATTTCACATTCTGCTCGCATTTCTTACAAATAGTGCTTGTATTACCCTTTCTGTAAAAAATAAAATTATTTGGAGAAATACCAAATTTATCAAGGTACAAACCAACTTAATATAATGCTTACATTGTTTGTTGAAATTCTGATCTACAATATGTACATTTCACCACAGGAAATGCACCCCTGCATTCCTAAATAAGCAACATAATATGGTAAAAATTTATTAAAAAGAAGCACAAAAATATAAAAATCTATAATGTATGTATTTACATTTAGTCAGTTTTAATGTTCACACGTTACTCAAGCTTTTTCACAAAACACATAATACTGTAAGAAAAAAATATTTATTAAAACCCAAATCAAAATGCTTTGTTAAATTGAGACAATTTTTAAACAAAAGTGATTCTTTAGAATGATCTTATTCTTCGGTGCACATACGCAATCGTTCTTAAATTTGAGTGTACACGCAAAACCAAATTTTCATCTAATTCATATTTTAACGTTTGATTGTTTGAAAATAGCAACAATTATATGAAGAACAGTACAATTGAATTAAAAGTTCTATTATTAGCATCGTATCTCGCAAACACGAAAAATAACGCGTCGAAAGTATCGGTAGCTGCGTGACGAAATTCGAGGAAAAATATGAAAATCCAAAGCGATACCTTGCACAATTGTTGTCCTGGGGAGAGCTCCTCGAAAGGATGCCTAGAAAAGCATCGTGAACACGCAAAAAGTGCTTGCACATTGTTCGCGCTCATCCTCAAACAGCAAATCGTATTTCGTCTCGGTGTTCCAAAACCGTACGTCACTGATGATAAAACCAATTCGTAAAAGTAACGATGGATCGAGCCAAGTCTTGCTTTCACTACTAATCGACGGCGTTGCAAAACAAAAAGGAACGTAAAATTCAACGCGATGACACTTTCGATAACAAATCCTTACATGTTTCACGACGTTTTGCGCGTCTGACGCGATTGTTTTGCGTACATAACCGCGTCACTTGCCTCGTTCACTGCACCGGTTGTTGATTTGAGACGGCCATCTGTAACTTCTTACATACATTCACAATGCTAGATGTCGCTTTCGTTTGTGCATATCCAACAGTACGATAAACCAATCATTATCTTTCTACCTAAAAGATCTGACTAATAATTGGTTAAGTTTCTCTTAACACAATATTACGAACATTCTCTGTAGAATTCGTCCTCTTTGACCTTTCCTTGTTGGAACAAACGAACATTTTATTCATTGAGTACCAGTCAGACAGTCCCACTTACGCACGTGCACGAGTGCACGCATCTTGTGTTTACATAGTTTTTTTAGTACACCCGAAATATAAATATAACCTAGAATTTTTGTCCACGCGTGCTTCCTGCCGTAATAAGTAGGGTTAGTTAAAATTAATACAGATATCAAAAAAATGAAAATTACAAAGAAAATCAAACGGCGGCTGAAAGAAAAACAGCTAGCTCTGTATGTCCGTTTGCCACATACAATTCGAGATAGAGACGATGTTGCAAAATTATTTACTGGCAATTTTAAAATAAATCTTCCTCGACAATCTAGTAGATGCTGCTATGTAATATTTGCTGATACAGAGGAGAAAATGAAGAATTTAAAAACTATAAAAAATACAAGGATAGATGGAAAACGTATAGTAGTTGCACCTGCAAATACAAAAATTGAAAAAAAAACGACTATAGCAAAAAAAAAGATTGTTATGCCTGAGGTAAAAATAGATGCAAAAGTGACAAAACAGTGAGTACATTTCATTTTTTTCTTTTTTTTTATAATCACAATTTATAATGTCAATAATAAAATATATTCAAATTTTCAATAGTCTTTTCGTGTCAAACATCAAGTGTGGAACAAGAATTCAAGAATTAAAAGCAGCTATTCCTGGTTGTCTATCTGTTACAATGCTAAAACCATACTCATCAACATCCAGGTAATTTCATTATTTACACAGATGTACTAAATACTATTATATATGTATAAAAAAAATCTCAAAATTACATGTTTAGGGCTGCATTAATTAAAATAGAAAGTATTCAGTTGGCAACAGAATATTTAATGAACACAAGGGAAAGACCGACTGTAGCAGGAAGAAAATTAAGGTTTAATATAGATACTAGAGACAGACATAGAAGACACAAATCAAAACCTCTCAAAATTTATGATGGTGAACCAGAAACAGAACAAAAAGTTATTGAATAAAAGTAAAACTATAGATTATATTGTACATTAAAGCAAAATGTATAAATTTTAGTATTGTATTAAAAATTTTTATCTCCTTTTAAATATATTGGATTCTATTATTATAATAAATTATTTTAGAATATAAAACTATTTAAAATTATTTAAAATATGATATAATATAAATATAAAGCTATAATTATTTATATATCTAATTTCTTAACATTTTTATTATAATTATTTATTATAAGCATCAAATTCGATATAATTTTATTTTATCATCTACGAACTAAAATGAATCATCAAACTCTGTAAGAATAGTAGATGACATATTAGTGTAAATAAATGTGTTATTAAACCTACACATTTACATTGAAAGATTGCACAATATTCGTCATAGATAAGTTCAAATTCCATATTTAAATGCTAAAAATACTTTAATGATATATATTGCCAGTAAATCGATCGCAAGTATCAACGATCAAGGTAAAATCTCAAATAGTGCACATTATTTAACTTGGAAATGCTTAGATATAATTTACTCGAGCGAGTAAAGTAGTGCGAAGCATGACTATGTGAAATAACGTTCGGAGAATAAATATATTTAATTTTGATCGAAATGTGCATCTGTTACAGTTACATAATTGTATTTCTATTATATAAAATAGTGATCTAGTAAAATATAGAAGATGGAAATATAGAAGTTTATTTCAATACTGAAAACATTATTATTATATTGGGTGAGTTTTATAAAAAAATAACTTTCTTTTCATCCATTATTATTTTTCGTTCTATTATTATTTTCTTTCCTTTACTTGAGTAAATTCTTCGTGTAACATAATAACCCATACAACCTTTACGCCAAGCTACGTGTCTCCCTTAAAGAGTATTGATTTACAATAAAAAAAAATATGTGCTTTTAATAAATTTAATCGAAGCGGGTGAAACGGTTCGAGAGCTTTATCGGTTGACCACTAGGTAGCAGAATAACCTTGATCGACAGTTTTATTTAGATTTGTAGGAGTGTAGTTCGCAGTGTTTCGCACACAATCAAACATTCAGGAAAACTCGGCATGAAGTAACCAATAAGCGATTTGCCAGTCTAATCGTTCCGACGTCATTGCATAACTCGCGTTGCTTTTTAAACCAATTATTTAATGCGCTACGTGCAATGATTTTGCACTTAGAGGCGTTTTCCGATCGATGTCACGCGTGTGTAGTGACGCCGACCGAAAATGCGAATGGGCGTAATAACGCCGGCAAGTTCTGCAAATTGGATGCACTTCAGAACTAACCTAAGAAAAAAATTCACCGTGTTGTTTTAAGATAAGAAATTATTGTAAAAAAAAAGCATGAACCTCTATTCGTCCCCGTTTTATCGAATTTCGTCGTCGATATGTTTGACGTTGTCGCTCTGGTGTGCAACGTCCGTAATAATTTACGTATAGGTTAACTCACGGCAGCGTCCATAGACGTTTACAATCTGTCATTTAGAGTCGACATTTTGTAAATCATATTGTAATGCATAAATATAAATATAGAGCTGACGTTTTATTGAATATAGCACGACTTTTGCCATGTATTTTATAATAATTACAACTCCTGAAACGTTCCTGTTAACCAATATCGGATCTTGCAAATTCGAAGGTAACTAAATATGCATTTCATTTATTCAAAATTAATATAAAACAAGATTTTATGATATCTATCAAAAAGTTTTACAAGTGCTAGATAACTCATTTGAATATTGCATGGTAATATGTGAGAATCTACTGTATTATTTTTCTAAGAATTATATGTGATAGTGTTTTTATCTGCTTCAATAGCTATCTCTTTTTTTTGTTCTGTTCCAGCATTTAAGAATGAAATCAATTTCATTTTGGAGTAAGTTTTGAATTTGTGTACTTGTAAAATTGAAATAAGAATAGGATCATTACGATGCATTTATGATCAAATGGCATGCGGTTCTATATATGAAAAATAATGTTTAAAATCAGTGTATATTGGAGTATAACCTGATTGCATTAAAAATGCAAGCCAAGAAGCGCTACTTACTATTATTTGTAACATGTGCGTTTCTTGGTTATTGTTATTTTGGTGGTTATCGATTAAAAAGTGAAAGATGGACAGGCAGATCTCAGTTGCCTTACGAGCGATTGCCTTCGTATTTAAGTCTAAATGAAGAGTTCTATGACAAGGATTTGAGAACGTCAAATGGAAACCCACTTGTGTCTCAACGTATAAGACAATGCCGTATGGAGACTTGTTTTGACTTTACCAGATGCAAGCAAGGTTTCACAGTATATGTGTATCCAGTTGAAGATGTGATAAGTCCACTATACCAAAAAATATTGAATGTTATTACGGAATCAAGATATTATACATCAGATCCAACTCGAGCATGTATATTTGTATTAGCTCTTGATACATTAGACAGAGATCCATTATCAACAGAATTTGTGCATAATCTTCCTTCAAAATTAATGCGTTTACCATATTGGAATAATGGCAGAAATCATTTGATATTTAATTTATATTCTGGAACATGGCCTGATTATGCAGAAGAATCATTAGCCTTTGATTTAGGATATGCAATACTTGCAAAGGCTAGCATGTCTATTTTTAGGCATAGACCAGATTTTGATATATCTATACCACTGTTTGGAAAACAACATCCAGAGCGTGGTGGAGAACCAGGTCAAGCATTAGAAAATAATTTTCCTAACAATAAAAAATACGTTGCAGCTTTCAAAGGTAAAAGATACGTCCATGGTATAGGTTCTGAAACTAGAAATGCTCTCTATCATTTACATAATGGCAAGGATTTAGTATTTGTCACAACTTGCCGCCATGGTAAAGCATGGAGGGAGTTACAAGATGAGCATTGTCAACAAGATAATCAAGAATATGATATGTGAGTATTGAGAAGAAATAATTTGAAGAACAAACAGTTGTTCCAATTGAACCATTAAACCTAATATTTAATTTACCATTTCAGGTATGATTATGAAATTTTACTAATGAATGCTACCTTTTGTCTTGTACCAAGAGGAAGAAGACTTGGTAGTTTTCGATTTTTAGAAGCTTTAAGAGCAGGGTGCATTCCGGTTATTTTAAGTAATGGCTGGGCGCTTCCTTTTCACGAACGAATTGATTGGACACAAGCTGTTATATTTTCTGATGAAAGACTGCTACTTCAAGTAAGTAAAATAAAAATAAAATTTTTTACTAGCAAAAGATAACTCATAAGTTGAACTACAGATAAATATTATTTTCTTAGATTCCAGATATAGTACGGTCTGTGTCCAATGTACATATTCTTAAATTGCGACAGCAGACACAATTTCTCTGGGAACGATACTTTTCGTCAATAGAAAAAATTGTATTTACAGTATTTGAGGTAATATTATGAATCGCTAATAATTTCTGAAGAAATAATCGCTCTCTCAATTTATTAATATTTTCTATCTCGAATTCGTAGAATATTCGCGAGCGTTTGCCATGGGAAGGTACAAGAGAAAAACTTGTTTGGAATACTAGTCCTGGAGCGTTAACGATATTACCACAATTTGCTGATAGTCAGCAAGAACTTCCATTTTCAAAAAGTAATCCAGGTAATACCTTCACTGCCATCATATACTCGCAGTTGGGATCCACTGCTGTTCTATATCGCCTGCTTAAGAGTCTCGCGAAAAGTAAATACGTAGATAAGGTAAGTTCATTTCATAAATTGCCCTTCGTTTTTCTTTTTTTATTTGTATTTGGTAATTTACTTTAGATTATTCTAATGTGGAACTCGGACATTCCGTTACCAAGAAGACCACGATGGCAAGGGATCAAAGCATCAATACATGTCGTTACAGTCGATGGCATATCCCAACGTTTCTATCCTCACCCATTAATCAAAACTAGTGCCATATTATCTCTAGACGAAGATGCCACACTCAATACAGATGAAATTGATTTCGCCTTTACGGTATGGCGATCATTTCCTGACCGAATAGTAGGTTACCCAGCAAGGTCACACTACTGGGATGACTCTAAAGTAAGTCTAACATTACTCTTTTTGTCCTAATATTTCTGGTATTTGTTATATGGCCTTTTTTTTTTATCATTTAAAGCGTTCATGGGGCTATACAAGTAAATGGACAAATGATTATAGTATAATTCTAACTGGTGCCGCCTTTTATCATCGTTATTATAATACGTTATATACTGAATTACTGAGTTCGACACTTCACAAGACTGTCGAGCAATCGCAAAATTGCGAGGACATACTTATGAATTTTTTAGTAAGTCATGTTACACGAAGACCACCTATCAAAGTAACTCAAAGGAAATTGTATAAAGATACTACAGTGGCTGGAATCAGGTATTTATTATATATACCTTTATTAAACTGCTACGCAGGTAAATATGGTTTTCCGTGAGGATTTAGTGCCTCCAGCGACTGTTTCTTCAATTGTACAAAAATAGTATAACAATTTTCCACTTTTTCCGAAAATGCACACAATATTTCTGGCACTAATATCTATAAGCACTCATAGCCATCTTTTAAACACAGGTACGTTGATATTTCAATAGTTTAAAGTCGTCCAATGAAATCATAGATGGTGTGATCGATTTTTAGTCGATCGCTAAATATCGATTAGTTCTACGATGGTCGAGCTCTGATTGGCTGGTTGTTATTTGTAAGTTTCCGCCATTAGTAAAAACGATGTCGCAACGTATACATTCGGTAGTTACATTTTTAAATTGTTTACCTTCATTTTGTTCTTTATTTGCGTAACAAATATTGAAAACAGTTGAATTATAGTGTGTTTCAAAAGTGTTTTGTTTTCTATTGTAAATTTATCGTGTATCTACTGTATATGTTCCATTACTACATGATTTGTGGTAAGCTGTTTTAAATTTTAATTTTACATCATATAAAACAGTACGAATGAAAAATATATATTTTCCATAACCTATGCTTGATACTTATAGTCATAATTACAGTTATGTTTACAATGATGGATACCTGCGTAGCAAAGTTTCGTATTCTTGCTTTTTCAGTTTATTTTCTTATTACATGAAATTTTCAGATCCCCATGGAATGATCCAGATCACTTTATACAACGGCAAACGTGCATGAATACATTCGTAGCCGTTTTTGGGTATATGCCGTTGTTACGATCTAATATGAGGCTCGACCCTGTTTTGTTCAAAGACTCTGTAAGCAACTTGCGCAAAAAGTATAGGCAAATTGAATTAGTTAGTAACTAGAATTATACAGGATATTTTATCAGTTATGCAGTTATTTACCCTCGAAACGGGCATCCTATATATAGCCTCGAAATATTTCTATTAAATAGTATGTGGCGCATATTGCTAATTACAGCCGCGTGCGCGCGCTAGAGGCTATTCAAAATATATAGGAAACACTTACATTGTTGTAAGTATGAAGCCATTGTGTCTCAGTGGTTATCAGGCAGCAAATTAAGGTCTTTCATTCTTGAGGAATGACCATACTCTGCGCTTCGCAAAAATTTTGTACAAAGTATGGGATATCTTGTAATATTGTTCGAGTCTAATTCGAGCCACGGCGTACAACCGTTGTTGTGTATATTGCCGTGTTCAATTGATGTACATACGAATCGTTTCATAGTTACTAATAAAATGGGAAAAATAAAAAAAAAATAAATAAATAAAAATAAAAAGAGAACGAACATTATTTGACAAATTCTTCGACTTTTTAAAACCGGCCTTTGGAAGCTACACGAAGCATTCTAATCATAGTCAATTGAAATCGCTCGAAACCAAATTTATCAAACGCTTACTTTTCTCTAATCGTTGAAACAATAATTATCTTGCAGATAATATTTTATATAAACCAGACGAAAATCACGTAGCTGTGTCGGATTGAGTCTTGAAAATAGTAGCCTCAGGGATGGATCTATTTAATGCGAGAACTGAAATGCAGCTTACAATTTCGTGGACTATCTGAGAGCTATTGATGATAATTTTGTTATTTTTACACATAAATTGCAATAATCCATCAACAATAATTAACGCTGCTATTCTTTCAAGTTTCAAAGAAGTCAATGCTTGTCTCCGTTCAAGGTTCATCGTTGTAGTGAATGTAAATTTGCGTAAAACATTTCATTTGTTTCTCAATGTGTACAGAACTCCGTACGTTCGTAGTTTCTCTATGTGTCTGAAGCACAGATTATTCGTAAATTGTAATCAAATATGTAGAAAGTATTTCAAGGTTTTACGTATTGTTGTATATGTATACATACAGATGTTGCGTATTTTCTTTTTTGTTCTTCGCGAATACGTGTACAGTTCGATCGCTCTCAGGTTCGACCTTTGAAAGGAAGTAAGAAATTACTTGTGACAATATCGCAAGTATGTCTAGTCGTTTATGTTCATTTATATTGGTACATCCAAGAGATAAAGTACATGATCCACGTAGATAAACTCGATGCCGTATTTGTGTTTCCACGATATAAGAAATGAAAATAATGTACATATATATGTGATACATTTATAATTATCATGTGATATATTCGTAATTATCGGATGCAGGATTAAAAAGGACTGTGTAATTCCACCAATGGCATTTTTTAACCGCGGTTATAATATATACGTTATGGGAAATGTTATATTTTTTATCATGTCGCTGATTTTGATAACGAAGAGGTCAGCAGGAACGAAGTTTTTTTCTTTGTTCATTTTTTATTCGACATAATTGTTGCTATTTATCGACAAGAAGAATAATTCTGATTCTTCTTTCCTGCATACTCTTCACCCTACGAATTTAACTATGTACGGGACTGTGCAAAATGGTCGCTTTTATTCCGAACAAAGTTACTCGCAATAGTTTTGCGTTTGTTGCGGTATCGAACATTAACTGTTTAATTCTAACGAAAAGGTATTTTAACGTTGACGTAGTTTTCATTATAATTCGAAGCTGATCGTCAAATGTAATCTTGTTGCGTCAAAAGTAACGTGTGTTTGAACAAATATTGGTGATTTTATATGGCCGAGAAAATAAAGTTTTTATACAAACCTACAATCATTGACTTTGTAGGGAAAATATATTTATCATTGATCTTATATTTTTTCACGTTTTTTTCTTTGTGACTCATTCAACAGCATTGTTTGTTTCTTTATTAGAGATTCACCTCAATGAAACAACCACATTTCTTCTCCATAAATCCCTTGACTACGCAACATTATCCTGAAATATAATACGTCGTTAAAAATTCCTGTAAGACACCAAGAAAGGTAAGCGTATTTCACGCTCAGACTGTATAACCGTATCCTCGCGGAGAACGAAAATTAACCCTCGGCATTTTATTTGCAGGAGAAAGAGCACCGAGATAGAGCACGTCAAACTTTTCTCTCGTCGACCGGTCACGTAAGCTGAGAATGGTTTCAGGGTTACCGATACGAGGAACGAAAAAAATCTGATCGGAGGAAGGCGGATTTGATGGTGGAAGGCGGCTGATCGGTGTACCACCACCAGCGCGAGCGTGATCCACCACCATCGGTCGTTCGGCGCGATCGTGAGCGCGAGAATGGTGGTGGCCACGCGATATAGTACCAACACTCCCTTCTTTGTTGCTGCTTTGCTAGAAAGGTGACTATGCCAAGAAGACAGGAGGTATTGAGCACGCCTTGCGTATACCCAGTCACCTTTCTCTCTTCGTGACCGTAGCATATGTTTTGCGACGTCGATGGAGCTCTCACGGCTTTGATCGGCGCTACCATTGAAGCTGCTGCTCCGGATCCTCGTTGCCACCTTCCTTCCCTTTTTCCCCGTTGGATTTTTGCCGAATTCTTGAGCAACAGAGATCGCCAGTGTTCGTTCGACCGGGATCGAGCTCGGTAAAAACATAATCGACGAAAAAACGAAAGGAAACCGCCGCGGCAGCAACATCGGCGCGGAGTCGGCCGTTTCGCGCGATATCACCGTTTCACCGGTTAACTTGTTCTTCGTTTCCCGCGCACACGCGTCGCGAGCATTTTTACGCATATGTGCGCGTATCCTTCGACGTTCGAGTAGCAAGTATCAACCATTGGAAATTTGCAACCTGCGTTAATTCATCGAGCGGTTAGGATCAAGCATAGGAGCACGAAAATGATCATCGTGAACAGCGTGTTGATCCTGCTGGCGGTCATGTCGAGAGTGGGTGAGTGTTGCACATTTTTTTTTAACATTAGCCTCAACTTTTACTCGCTCGCTATTTTCATACAATGTGAATGTAGCAAATTTGAAATCTTACTCTTAACGCTTAACTAATATTTAGCTTACATCACTGTTAGTTACGTTTTTGCCATTCTCTTCGCCGTTTGTTTAATTTGCACTTAATTTGCATTTGTTCGACTTCTTCTCGCGACTCTAAACAAAGTAAACTTTCGTTTGTGCTTCAAACTTCGCGCGAAGTGCATTTCGCGCCGTTGTCTTGAAATCACTCTCGAAGGTCGAAGAGGAAAACCGACCGTAGACGAAACGGTGAACGGCAACTTGTATTTAAATATCTTGAATATTTTACATTGCGTAATGCACGAGTGACATTCTGGACTGAGTTTCGAAACAAATTTTGAGGCAATTTTTTTTCTCTTTTTATAAAATTATGATGTACAAATTTCACTTCTTTCGCATATTTAGCATTTGAGTTACGAGGTAAAATACCCGTTGTAAGGGAAGTTTCGAAATAAATTAATTCTGATAGAGTCGATGACTTGCCGATTAGTTGGCTCGTTGATCGGTTCGCATTAGCCGCGAAAATGTCAGTTTACGTAATGTTTGGGTCGTTGGATAACTAGTACACACGGAAATCAAGTAAAATGCTTTTGGTCCCTGAGGGTGTGCCCCAAGGGTGCGCGTGATCCTCTTTTTCTCTCTCTCTCTCTCTCTCTCTCTCTCTCGACGTTCGCGGCGATTCCCTTCTCGACCAGGGCCCCAAATACGGTGACACGCTCTAAAACGCTTCCTCGAATAGCCAGTTCGGTTTAATTCGCTTGGACTGCTTTGGGAAAAATCCGCTACTCGTTAGCGGTTCTTATCGAGAGGAACACTGGCAATGCTCGATATCTTTTTAAATATTTTTTTCCATATCCCCTTAAGGAAATGCTATTCCAGCTTTGCAAATGGGACTCCTTATCCTTATTCTTTTTTTTTTTTTCGGATCTTACGTCGGGTCATGTCGGTTGAAAAATCATTTTCATTCTCAGCCGATGGATTTCCAGTTTTCTTTGTTCGAAGTATTCCGCGGGAATCCGCTATTAACAAATTCAATCCAATTTCGCGGTTGTTAATTCCCGTCGATTCACTTAGGCGCCTCCGTTGAAGTCTGTGGCCGCCGTAGCACGATTTCGCAAAGCGGTCGTTTCGCATGCGAAATCCACCTACCATGCTGCTCGATTGCAAAAGCCTCCCCTCCACCCCGGTCAATCATCGAAACGGACAATCAACAGAAACCGCTTGTAATCGAATAACGACGATTGTCGACTGATTGCCAAAAATTACTCGCCGTGACAAATCGCGTCTGTTTACAACGAAAATTTCTTCTCTTCTCGCAAGGGAAGAACAACAGCTTTGAGTATTTAGTAATTGTAGTGTCGAGTACGTAAAGTAAGTTAAAAGTAAATATCGAGTCGAGTAATAAGTACGAGATCGATCGACGATCTCTGACGGATTCATTATTGTGAAACCGGCGATCGGTCGTGCCGCGGTAAACCGTGACGATCGTATCGGAAGAGATTCGATTTATTAATCTCGATTGTTGAATTGTCGGAACGAGTTGGCTCGAACGATAACGTAGATGCAGACAGGGAGAATGTTAACAATATCGTAGTTGATTTCGGTAACACGGTCGATGGGCTCGCCGTGGAAACGATCCTTTTGCGAAATCGTTCGCCGGCGGTGCTCTCTCGGCGTACGAAGCGCCCGTGGAGCGGCTGTGGATAGAATCAGAAATCTATTCCCATCGGTTAACAAGGAACGCGCACGCTGCAACGTACTTACATCCGTCTGTTGGCTCTTGCTGCTTGTGAACTTTGATACCTGCAGCGATATTAAATTATAATCGGTTGAGAAATCGATGCTTTTGTGGAAAAAGAAAATCGTAGAAACGACGTTCATTCGTGCGATTTTGTTAGAGACGAGGTCGTTTCGAAAAGAAAGGAAAACGTCAAAAATTTTGCCACACGTGACATTTAACGTACGATTAAATTATCGTGGTTGCCACAACGCTCGAGAACGAACGACGATTTATGCATCATCGAGTAGCGCCATTCGTCGGTGGATCTTCTTCGTGATTCTCTCGAAGATGCAACGACGATAACGCGTTAATAGAATTCAGGGATCCGCTGGAATCCGACCTTCGACGATGATTCTGACTATTTTTTTTTTTTTGTTTCTTTTTTTTTCCTCGCTAGAAATACACCGCTACGCGGAATGACGAAGATGTTATCCGTGAAAACAGCTGAGCGCAGCCACGTGCCTGCCGCTACGAGTATTCAAATTTATTCCCTCTCCCTCCAACTCGCTCTCGCTCTTTCACTCGCCGACAAATTGAAATAGGTCTCCCCCACCTACGCGTACGAACGAGGAAAACAAAGCTTGCGATTCGAACAATTAAGCCATTACCATTCACCGCCGATTGGAGCCGAGATTAAAAGTGGTGATTTTGAAAAGGCCGCGAGCAAAACGAATGGGAAAATTTGTCGGAGAACAGGTAGGAATCGCGATGTTCTGGCGTTCTCTCGTAGTGTTTTCTCGCTGGATTCCTACGGATCAAGGATTCTAGGATCGTGGAAGTAGATACGGTTTCGCGCGTAGGCGACACGTTCCACGATATCGTCTACCGCTATCGAGTAATTTACTGTCGGGATACGGTTTACGCCCCGTAATTTATCCGCCCCCAATCTGAGACCACAGCGTCAAGGACTCGGTTAGAAATATTACCGAGATTACGTTCGGGTGGTGCAGGGTGCGGCCGGGGGAAATCTCTCTCTCTCTCCTCGCGCGCCGGTAACATTCTTGAAAAAAGCAATATGAATTACCTCACGGCTCCCTAGCTTTTCCATTATCCTTGAGAACAGGCTACGTGTTAGATGGTTTTCGTTGTACGAAATCGCAGCCTCGAGTTGTTTACCGCGCCTAGCGTATCTTTGCAAATTCTTAAAATTTCGACTCGAACATTTGCCACCAACTGAAAACAATGACCACGTTGCACGTTACTTTGCTGAAACTCGTTTCATATTTGGGTGGCCACGATTCCGCGTAAAAGAGAAACTTGCCCGCTGTTCGTTCTAATTAATTGTCAGGAACTCGAGTTGTTTCTCTCTGGATTCAATTAGATCCGAGTTACGTGTTCCCGTTTTTGCTGAACCGATCGGTCGAATAATCAAAATTTTCCAAGGAAGACGGGGAACGTGTGCACGTACACGCGCAGGGCAACGCGAATCGTTCTGCCAACAGGATCCTCGCTTTAACCGGATCGCGTAGGTATTCGCGATTTTATAATTCGCCGGTACTTCAGTTCCTTTAAAAGGCCGGATTACAAGCGTTCGTGTAAGTTCAGTCGACGATATTTTATCCGTTGACAGTCCGATGGTTAAATTATGTTCGAGCGGTGTATTAAAACCGATACACCTCGAGCCCAAGTCCACGTACATACATACGTGGCCGTCCAGTATCCAAGGAATACGATACAAGCCCGTGGCCGGACACGTTCCACGGCTATTATCCTTTCTCCGAGATTCCAAGTGCACCCGCGCTGCATTTCTCTGCTCACAATTATTACGAGAATTCGCCAGTGATGCTTGTCGCCCGTTACACGACCAATCATAGCCTGCGGTGTTTACGGCTGGTTTAAAAGCATAATATAAATCGGGTATCGGGCACCGGCACGAACCAGCCAGCGGACTTATCCGCGACTTATCCGTCGATTTTGTCTCTCACTCTCGTCGACGAGCGTCCAATGCCGTGTCCAACGTTTTTACGCGCAAACATGTGTATACGTTTCGACGTTTTTCCACAGTGTTAAGAATGGCAAGGATGAGGTTTGAGCGAGGATAGAATTCCACGACGAACAAACTATTCCTCCGGGGATATCCGATATCGTAATACCGCTGGATTGTAATTCCGTTTGTTAGCATGCGCCGGAGGACGGATCTGTCCGACTCGAGTACGAGCAAACTCGCCGCTTTGTGTCGCGGCGGAACGTTCACCGGCCATTATCCTTCCCTCAGGATTCCATCAGCACCCACACTATCTGACCCCCTCCCCCTTGTTCGCAATTACCGGGAGAATTTACCGCGGCGTACATAGGTTATAGTTTATACCGTGAACCGCGCCGTGTTGGCTATTACGTTCTCCGCGCCGCATTATCCATCGATGTCCGTGCTCTGTGGCTCTCGCTGCTCGCCAATTACCCGGAGGATTTACCGTGGCCAATGCACCGATATCAGTTTCTCCACTCCTCCGCCTCTATTACATCCTTGGCCACCGCCAACTCGTTTCGTACAACCGGTAAGAACAAGCAGAACCAGCGGAATTATTCGTCAACCGGGTCAAATGAAATCGTGTCGTCTTTGCTTTTGTCTGCGATTTTACGACGAACTTGTATCAACGAGGTACGTACATGCGACTGGCCACGTGTAATTAATCGGATTACTCGCAATTTGCCGTGATTGTGATAATTGCCGTTCCGTTACAAGTTGATTGTAATGAATCATCAGAGGACACGGTTCATCGTAAATTTTATGGTATTAGATGTTTGGGTTAAGAGCTAAGATTAGCATATCCTGTTACCTATTGCGAACGCAGCAGGTAACGCCTGTGCGCGCGTCGTAAAACACTGGGAACAATAACCCGAGAGCCGTAATTCTATGGTTGAACTGTAGAACTAGCTGTCATTCTCGAGAGCAAACAACACCTTTTGATTGATGAACGTGAGGGATCCATATTTAGGTTCGTGAACAGTCAGGGGCCTATCGTCCGTCAAAAACTGTCACTTTTCTCTCGTTCACTTCTCCGCGCGGACTGCACTTGGCTTGAACTTGAGATTCAAGTTATCAAAATTAAACCACTCGTCTGCGGTAGCATCTTCGCTCATTCACATAATTATCGTAGATCGTCAAATGTCAAACGTCCAAGATCCTCCGTCGTCGCGTCATCGTG